CCGTACGTACGCGTGTATGTGTGTACGTTAGTGAGATTTGAAGTTTTGTTGTGTCGAGCCAATGTCACGCCTGATTCACGTCAGACCCCGAAGTCTTACGGTACGTTGGACGAGACGGGGAAAAAAAGAGAGTCGACGTGCGTGCGTGCGAGCGAGCGAGAGGGAGAGAGAGAGAGAGAGAAAGAGCGAGTAACGAGTGGGAGGTGCGAGGAGGGAGAGAAGTGACCGCGAGAGGAGAGCGGAGAGAGGGCGAGAGAACACAAGTAGGCAAGGCACGCCGTGTCCCCGTAGTCTCTCTTTCCGTCTTTATCTTTCTCTCGCTCTCTTTCTCGTTCTCGAGTAATATCGCGTCTCGTATACCTTCCAAGCGAGAGACACTCGATTCTCGGTCGCGGGTGTCTTTTCGAGCCGCGAAAATTCCGCTGAGAAAATCACTCCGCCGACGCTCCCGCCTCCCGGACTCTTTTTCGCAAGCGCGCGTGAAGGAGAAGGAGGAGGAAACGACAGCGGTGGCGGCGCGAGAACGGATAGCTGAGATCTCTCTCTCTCTCTCTCTCTCTTTCTCTCGCGTAACATTCCTTTCGCCTCAACGACTTGTGTCGCGAGGGAGGCAACAACGTGCGGCGTCTCGCGTCGCGTCGCGCCGGCCGACGTCGAATGAAAACTGTGTCAGGCGATTTTACAAAGTTCGCTTCTCCGAAGGCGTGACGTTATATTCGCGAGTATATATTCGTTTTTCGACGGCCACGATCATTTCCACGAAGACGCGGAATCGCGACGAGGCGCATGCGAGAGGATTGGTTGGCTGTTATACGCGGCTAGCTATCTGTCTATACCTGCGCGAGAGGAAGGCCTCTCGTCGCGCTTCTCTCCTCTGTTTTCAAACGCTACTTCTCTCTTCTCTACTCGCTCATTCCGCGCGCGTGCGTGCGACTCACGCATACACGCGCCCGTCACGCATTCGACACGGAGGCTAACGGCGAGGCGGACACATTTTTCTACCGTTCGTTGCATCTCGCGTTCCCACAGAGTGCGGCTAAACGTCACTGCGAACGGACGATGCGTCCGTCTTCCTTTGCTCCTCGGAGCTCCTCGTCGCAGCTTCGGCGTGTCACGGTTTACATATTTTGTGACCCGCACGACAAGAATCCAGATTCTCCGGGATCGTTGAAACTAGAGACCCCATAACTGAGTCTGGCCACGGGCAGTTTTGTCAAAACGAGAGTGAGAGAGAAGAGTATATATACTGTTTCTTTTTTACATATGCTGTCTCATTCTACACTGAACAAAATTATCAACAGTATTGTTTTCAATGAAAATAATCTTGTTGATTTATATATAACGGTATTAATGAAACAAATAAAATTTTATTAAATAAGGAACGTAAAGTATTTGTTTCATTAATAGTGTTATTGAATTAATAAAGATGTTGTTTTCAATTAAAATATAATACTATTGATATAACGCCACTTTTTTTAGTGTAACTTATACTGTCTTATTCATTCTAATTTACTGAAGTTGACAAAAAGGATAGGTCAATCAATAATATATCATATATCATACATGTAGTGGTTAAATTCTGTTATAGGATTGATTCTTCATAGAATCTTAAAACGAATGTCACGGAAGGGTGTTTCTTAGAGATTTTATGAATCTCAAAATCAATAAGAAATAAGTTTCATGTACATTTCTAAACAAAGTAGTTAACAAAACAGACGACAGGTCTGAAGATATGCCTAAAATAACCGGATAGCTATCTTTTCCTTCTCATCGAGGACGTCTCGACCATTCATTTTTTCCCCCAGTCTGCGAATCCATAATTTATAGATGGTAATGTAAAGAATGTATGTCAATTTGCGAAACAATAGAAGAGTTCAAGGGTGTTTGGATAAATGAAACACAAATATGAAACGTTGATCGTAAAAAAGAAAGAAAACCTTTGGAGTGTAATCTATTAAAGATAGATTAATAAAATAATAAAGGAAATAAATAGGCAAAAATATACATTAACAGCAGAAATTAATAAAAGCAACTGATAGAATAAATAAGTTATTATTGGAAAGAATCAAAATATTAATATACGAAAAACTGGGAAAATAGGCCATGAAAAATGAAAACAGGAACACAAAAATAATTCGTAAATGACAATATCTTTTTGTGTGAAAATAATATTTAAACAGACGCAAAACAGTCGATTAAGATTAATGTAATTTAATAATATAAATTTTGTACGAGGAACGATACTTCATTAAACTACGCATGTATCAAAATCTGAAAAAAATCGGAAATCATATTCGCATTCTCATTACATGGGCATAATGTTTATTTTGGAAAAACGATAACGAACATTTCCTATTCAGCTTCGGTCTTCAATTTATTCCGTATTATATGATTCGTGAAAAATAGTTATTCATAATAAGTCAAAAATATTTAGCATGCGAGACCATCGCGTGAAGAAACCAGCTCGATTCATTTTCTGTGTCATTGACGAATTTTTGCGCGGCACGTGTCTTTATTTATTTACGATCGATATTTATTATTCTCCGAAATTAACAACATGCGCGACGATTTGTCGCTTTCGACTAATGGGTATTTTTCCAGAAAAAGAATTTAAAAAAGGGATATATTCGTTTATTCGCATATTTTACATTCGCAAAATTCGCACCAATGACATGTACATTTTTACAATATAAAAGTCCGACAGAAACCGTTTTTAGTTTTATGCGGACGAGCGGAGTTGCGCTTTAAATCGACGCGCGTTCCGTTGAATTCCGACAAAGCGACGGGCTTTTGGAGCTTTATGAAAACCACGCTGCGAGCTAATTCGACCCGTCGGCGAAGCAGCGAATGTATTTTATTCGATTAAACGCGATATATACGCATACACAAATTTATTGCAAAATCTGGCAAAGCTGTTTGATCGTAAAGGTAGCGCAGCGGCTATTGACATCCCAATTAGTTTCTTTATGTCGCACGAATATGTGCACGAGAATTAACACAATTTAATCAAATGCCAGTCGCAATTAATGACCTGAATAATTACATGGATAAATGGAAAAGCGTTATGAAGATTTTTATTGACAGATATTGTGTTAATCATAGTCGTCTTTTCCATGATTTGATAAGATTTTTTTTCAATTATATCTTGGTTTATCAGCTGAAAACTGTAATAAATTCAAATAAATAGTTCTCGCATTCTTGAGAAGATCAGTTCATGCGGATGGTTTGTGGAACGTACCACATTATATACATCTACCTAATTAATATTTACACACGTGTGTCAGAAATCGATTTGCATAAGTCACGCCACATTTCTGAGTATCGAAGCATAATTAGTCGAGAGTTTGTTTAGAACTTATTAGTATGCAATAGAAATTGAAAGCCAATGTATTACCTACGTGTCAGATGCGACCGATTAGCTCCGCTTTTATTCGCGTGACATAAACATTTTTTTCCAACGGAGTAAATATATTGAAAAAGAATGATGTTATACCAACAGTATTATTTTAATTAACAATAATTTTAATTCAATAACACCATTAGTAAAACAAATACATTATGCTTGTGTTTTAATAACATTTTATTTGTTTCATTAATACATGTTATGAATTAACAAGATTATTTTTAATTAAAATAATGCTGTTGATGTAACATTATTTTTTTTAGTGCAGGAAACAATTGTGTATTATAAAACTGTAATAGAACGTATACAAAAGCATATATAAAATACGATAAAACATACATCTTCGTACATTATTAGCTTTTAATTATTCAAGAATTCACAATTCCTTTCTCTATAGAATATCATTTCGAGCGACTAGTTTCTGTGGAACGAAGCTGGCGTAAACATCAGGATTGTCCGTGAAAACAAGTCTAACGATGCGAAACGTGTAACGATTAAGCTTAATTAAGACGGCGTGTAACATTATTGATATACACAACGACGTACAAATCTCACGCGCACCGTCAAACATCGCGAAGAAATCGCTCGTGGCAGTTTTTGTGCCTA